TCTGGGACTTAGAACTGGGAAACTGGGAAAATTGACCCGAATCGAAATAACCGAATTATCTGGTCCGGTTCTTATAATTTTGGACTTCTGCTTTGATGTGTTCGGTTCGTATAATATTTGACCGGTTCGGTTCTGATTCCAATAAAATTCTAATTCACGGTAATCAGAGTTCTTATACATTTGCAAGAGTAGTCTTCATTTGAGGGGCTTTCGGGTGGTTTAATGAAATTTAGTGAGAATGTTTTTCAAAGAAGTTTAGATTATGTACACTTCATTAATTTACAAGAGTAGTCTTCATTACAACTCATGCTTTAGTGTTCACTAAATTTAAGCTTAAAATTCAATTGTGAAGTCAGTTAAATAAATCATTTGATGGATATAATCTACACTTCATCTAGAAGATGCTCACAAAATGTCTTCGAAAAATTCCACTCGAAAGATTATCAAATGAAAGTGTCCGGACGGCATTTCGGTTAAGAATTTTTTTTGCAGGAATATTTGTCTTGTATAATATACTTTATATATCATGGACCAGGCCAACCAACCCACATCGACTATTAAAACCTTTTGAGCTTTAAATCTAATCCAAGCCACCAATATCTTCTAAGCTTTGATATTGGAAATCTAAATTGTGAAAGTGCTCATGTCTTTTTTATCAATACATCCAGGATTTGTTTTTCAATTTTCTCTGGTGGTATGTTTTTTTGTTTGTTTTAGGATTTAACTCACTAATTGGGCCAGAGTTTTGGGAGTTTTCCCCCCACTTTAAGCTTTATCTATTCTATTTTAATTTCTTCCTTTGATTGAATTCAGTAGTAAGCTACTTCTTTGAGCAGACCCAAAACCTATGTACAAAATAAAAAATAGAAGTGGTATTAAAGAAATCATTAGTGAATGTTGTGGCTGATCGTTGGTTTATTGGATGAGATTAACTTATTAATTGTAAAAAGATGCACGAGTCCGACAAGAAACTAGGAAGGTCAAAGTAGAGTAGTTGTTATTTTAGTCCACCTCAAAAATGAATTAATGTTGCTGCTGATGACGTTATAATTTGTTTATAGTAATTTATTAATACTACCAATTTATTACTTTACTTATGGTGCAATACTAATATAAGAATATTATTTTGTGGTCGAACTACCTGCTATTGGATGTGTATATTGGAACTATTAAACGTTTTCGCTAAGCATTTGATGCATATTTTAAATCTTTATATTTTTGTTATGTTTAAACTTAATGTTTGCGCTTGAATATTTTGGTAATATTTGAACATTGGATATATCATGTATGTATAATGTTCACCGACGTCACTGAACATGTATTTTTCATTCGAAATAGACAAAAAACAGTATGCACACCGATATGTGTATTGTATGTAAAAAGTGTGTATAAATAGTTTTTTTCAATCGCTATAGCCCACGTGCAATTAGGCCCTAAACTTTACTGATCGAAATTTTAGCTACTTTTACTTTGGTTGGTACTTTTTCCTCTATTATATGTAGTACTTTTTAGATACGCCCTCATTTAATAGTCGAAGGTCAAATTTGTATTAAATTCGATCATGGATACTTTTTAATTGTTCGATCAGTGCTGGGCCCTCATGGATGGGATGTTATCATTTTTTGTTAAAGTAATGAATATTGATTGCAGTATTTATATTAGTATTAATGATTCAAATTTCTATACTTAAAGTTACACTAAAAGTATTATTAAACCGTAAAAACTTAATTTAAATATCCTAAAAATTGATGCAAAAATAAGAGAATAATGATCGATTAGGTAACTACTCCCTCCGTCCCCTAACTTTGTCCCATTTTACCTTTTTTGTCATTCCTATTAAGTTTGTCTCATACCATATTTGGTAATATTTGAGTGAGTACAATTCATTCTTACTTTATTCACACGTTATCAATTTAATATCAACCACACATTTCTACTTTTTCTTAAAACTCCCACCACACCCCTTTGTCCCAAACATAGAGGGAGGGAGGTAGTATAAGCCACATTAGTGAAAGTGACGAAGAAAATGGTCTAATCAAATCTGGTTAAGTTTGGTCTCCTAATGCATGGTCTTTTGTGTATTTCATTTCACTATTGTCTAGTGTTTTATGTATTTCACTACTGTCAAAGTCTGATCAATTATCAAAGTATGTTTTATTTTGAATAAATGATTCTTTAAGAAGTGTTGTACAATCCTGACATGTACAATATAACAATTGTTAGTAAACACAAAAATATAATTTTATCTATAGTTTCTGAGTAATTGGTTCTTTTTTATTTGTTACGTAGTATTTGTTTTAATTCGTCATTAAGCTTAGTGCATTATATCATTCATGGGAGAATTTAAGTTTAATTGGAACTTGACATAAATATAAGTAATTCGTAGTAAAAAGAAACATAATTCATGATTTTTGGTTTAGTCAGAATTTCTATCTTTCATGTTATAAATTGATGAATTTCAACTTGGAAATCTTTGATCTGATACTAATATATTAAGGTATGAATCCACAAAAGTCCAAGGAAATAATCAATGGTAGAAACTATTAGTAGGTTCAATTCATATATATTTAAGAGTCAATTTGGATACAAAAGATTATGGATTGATATTTTTATTGGAAAACTCTAAAATAAATCACTCCTTATGTTTGATGTTTTGAAAAAGTGTTTGAAGAAATAGTGTGAATGAACCACTCATTTTGATCAAAGATCCCCAAAAGTCATCAAAGTATTCTACTAGGAGAAAACAATTTGTGCCTAGAGGTCTACTCCCACATTAATTGCTACTCATCAATAGGGAGTCCCTAATCAATATTCTTATTATATCTAAAATATTATAATAGTGAATGAAGGTTAGGGCTTTTTGGGTATAAAAAAAATGTTGATGGAATCTCAAAGCAATAAATAGTGATACATTGCCTTATACATGTTGTACTCTCTTGGTGTTTTCCAATGACTCCGTTAAAAATTTTAAACTTACTCCGTTTTGCCGTTCCGTCACTCTCAATTAAGCAAACCTTCGCTTCATGATGTACACATGACACGTCCTCTAATAAATTACTACGTGTCATTTACTATGGTAATTATAATTTCCACAATGAAAGTTTCATTTTTCACAGATCGAATTAGGTTACACATCCTCTATTTTGAATTTATTGGTTTGATTAAGTTATTTGATATGATCAATTTAGGTTACGTTTTCAAAAGTATGATGCTCCTGGTATATTATACTTCGTCCCAAAAAAATCTTTTCACTTACTATTTTTGGACAATTTGTGTCGTTCACATTCATTTAACATTTTTTTACACAACCACAATCATACATTTGTACTTTATTCCACTTTCTTAATCTCAGTGTCAAGTCAAACTGAGAAGAATTTTCTAAGACAAAGGGAGTAATATTATATACTTAGTGATATGTTTTGGTCTATCTTGCACGGATACGTCGATACACCGATACGCGAATACGTTTACATTGATACGACAACTTCAAAAATTATAAAATACAGATATGGGGTATATTTATAAATAATAATAATAATATAGGGTATAATTTGCAAATATATATAATTCAGAGGTTCATAAATAAAATAATAATAATATCAAACGTAAACAATTATGAAGCATAATAGAATTTCTAAGATTAGACTTAAAAGCTAAAGTACTGATATCTCAATTTAAGTTTAAATAATATTTTTAATTTTCTATTTGCGTTTACATCTAAGTTTTTTAACAAGACCGATTTCAATTAAAGCTCATTAAGCAAAAATTTTGACAAATTATAGTATTCCAATATTTTGTAAATAGGTATAAATGGGGAATCTTATGTTGTGCTATTATTTTTAAAGTTTAAACTATGCAGCCAGCTTTAGCTTTGCATGCAGCACCCCAAACATAAACATTTGTTATCAAAATTGGAATTCACAAGACCTCTGTTTTTAACCATTCTTGTCACGGAATATACTATGCTTAAAATTTGTGTGTAATTTTCAAATGAATCATTTATTTTAACCAATAATATAACATTTCATTTAGTCAACAATACATATAAAGTAGCATTGGGCATTTTCCTCTCGCGCATCGCGCGTAAGAAAACTAGTGCTCATATAAAAGTGAAAACTACTACGAGTAAAAAGACCATTTATTCATGTTGATTATAGCATAAGCATTCAAGTCAAACCAGAAAGAATACTACCCTACAAAACTTCAATAAGTTTACATTTGTTCCAATAGAGTGAAATGGTCTTAAGTTTACATTTTAGTGGGATGAAAGTAGTATCAACAGACTATACAACAATACAAAGTTTTCTTGCTTATTTAGCCTCTTTGTTTTACTACTTTTACACTTAATTCATAGGTAAAAAGAGTTTTATGTTAGATTGAATCTCTTGAAATCCAACAATAATCGCTACAATGTTTTAGCTCTTTCGTAAAACTGACTTGATGAAGTGTATGAGTCATGGCCCCGACAAAAGCGTTTTAGGATTGGGCCCATATACCTCCTCAGACCAAGTCTGAGAGATTTGATCAATGCAAGCAAAAACCAAATGGACTCGGCCAAGACTAGAGCAGAGTGCCCGACATAATGGTATATCCCTCCCGGACGAGCAATCATGGATTACAGCCCGAATTCGGAAGCACCCCAGAAGTTCAGTAGGTTGATAGGAGTGCAGAAGAACTCTCTTGTTAGGTAGGGCACCGCACATGCACTTGACATAATCCGGTTTGGTCACCAATTATTGTTAAGCCTTCCTTCCGAGGGAAAGAAACCTGTTGTACGTGCAGCTAATTCGCAGACACATGTAGCGCATATAAGTAGCATAGTACACTGTCACACAAACCCGGCCTTTATTTATCTATAAATAACCTTATCTGGTCTTCGTTTTCCTCTCTTGACTTCAGATCTCCAAAGCCCATCATTATTAAACTTACCACAATTAAAATATGTAGTCTAATTTAAGATTTTTAATTGAAGTGAATATGTCATACTACTTTGAGCAAACTTGACCACAAACATATATTTTTGTCCATAAAATTACAGAATATCTAATGCCACAACTCATCACAATACAACCACGCTTTATCTCGCAAAGCGTATACCACAATTTGCCAAAAAAGATCTCTATTAACACCCGCAGAACATACATGTGTATATTTTTATAAACATAAATCTAGCCTTAAACTTTTATTATACATGTTGATAAATATACCTGAGTAGCATCGTCGCAATGGGATTGATGGTATTTGGTGTTTGAAGCAATACTTTACCTACCTTCATGGGTAAGTAACTGGGAAAACACCTGGCTGGTAGATATGTCGGAAGCAGCATCACCATGATCTGCTAAGCTGCTAGAAGCGGAATAAGCTCTTAATGGTGGCGGGTTCTCTATAGAACTTGGAAGATGGGCTTCATCAGATTCATTCTCTTGAAGCTGAAGCACATATTCCAAGTTCCACAAGACACCTCCCATCGTTGGCCTATCAACCCCGTAGTCAGCCAAACACTTCACAGCTGTCTCGCCAAATTTTCTTAAGGCACTCGGTTTTATCTGACCTCTAAGGTTTGGGTCAATGATTTGATCCAGCTGACCTCTTTTCTGCCACTGCATGGCCCACTCACCTAAATTGACATGCTCCCTCTCGAGCAAAGGGTCGATCGCGGGGCGTGCACATAAAACTTCAAAAAGCACAACCCCAAATGAGTAAACATCTGATTTATCCGTCAGTTGCTGTCTCCGATAATATTCAGGATCAAGATACCCAAAACTCCCTTTAACACCAGTGCTGACATGTGTCTCATCAAGGCATGGACCAGACCTTGAGAGGCCAAAGTCAGCAACTTTAGCGACGAAATTTTCATCAAGCAGAATGTTTGTTGATTTTATGTCACGGTGGATAATCCCTTGTGAAAAACCAGTATGGAGGTAGTGAAGCCCTCTTGCTGCTCCAATGCATATCTCCACCCTTTGCTTCCAAGACAATGGTGGTAAGTGATTGTTGCCATACAAGTACTTCTTTAAAGCTCCGTTCTCAACATACTCGTAAACAAGAATCATTTCGGACTGCTCTTCGCAATAACCAACAAGTGAAACAAGATGGCAGTGTCGAATCTTAGAAAGAACTGAGATTTCAGTGTGGAATTCAGGGAGGCCTTGTTTGGAACCTGGCATGCACCGTTTGACTGCGACCTTTCTGTTGTTATCTTTACTTAAAACTCCTTTGTATACCATGCCAAACCCACCTGTACCAACAATCAGACTCTTATTAAAGTTGTTTGTCGCTGATTGTATGTCTGCAAAAGGAATTCTCAACCCCTGATATCCATTTGAGCCTGAGGAAACAAGGTCAGTCCCTTCCGGCAATGTATTAGGAAAACTTCTTCCATGTCGTTGTATAGGGGTCCAATCAGCATTCTCTGTTCGCTTTGGTTTTGGTTTCTTTTTTCTACATTTAGATATTATCAAGATGGTGAAGAATGCTAAGCTGACCATCAATCCCACCACTCCACCAACAAGAGAAACAATTAAAACCCAAATATTTCTCCACTTATACCCTCTAGCTCCCGCAGGAGAGACAACATTCAACATCTTCATAATCTCTACTCCATTCAAGATAGCGTTTTTCCTTAAAACACCGCTGAGATCGGATGGGCCAACACTGATATGTAAAATACCACTACTAGCTTTGTTCACAACAACAAAATCAAGATAATAAGGTGATGCAAGAACGTGGAAGGTAAGTGCAGACAAGTCAAGATCTTTATACGCCATGACTTCATTGATGTACACATTGAAATATAATTGGTTAGGAGCTGAACTAACAATGTCACAGAAATGCAACCGAACAAAATAGTGTATGGTATCTTCCTCAGGTGCAATACCTATGGGAAAATCCCATGTTATATTGAACATAAAATCGGAAGTTGCCCTTTCCCAATCCATCTGTTGTGCAGTCATGTAGACATTATTGGGGGCAATCTCTTTCGTGGCCCCGCCCTTACGGTAATTGGGTGCATGACTAATCCTAGCAAGTTTAGCAGCAGATTTGAAGACTAGAAAGTCTTCATCTGGAATCCACGTTCTCCATAGGGTGTCATTGAAAGGTGTTATTTGTGGTCCTCCAACGTTAACCCTGTAAACAGTTTCTAGGGTTTGCAAAGTGACATTCTGATTAAACTCCAGAACTCCATCGGGGCTAACCAATTTTATCCCGGGATCAAGAATAAGATCCACAGGAACAGAGAGCACTTCAATTGCATTAACAAACCCAAAATCACGCGTTGGTGTAAACAAGATTGAAAGCTCTACCTTGTCAACCATCAAAACGAACTCTTTAAGCACACTATTATTAGAGCCAACACTGAAATCCCTCAACAGTGAAACCCCATTAGCTGAAACACTGAAATTTGCCTTGTGGAGGTTGTAATTCTCAAAAATAAAAGGAGAGAAATGTAAACGCACCAAATGGGTGCCTAATTTCTTGACGTTAAATGAATACTTCGCAGAGGCAGATGTGAAAACTCTAGCTGTACTGTAGAGAAAAGATATATTGGAAGTAAAGCTTCTCTGGTTTTTCACTACAACTGATTTACCTTGGAAAAAGCCTGGCTTTTCAGAATCCCCAAGAAAGTTTCTGTTCTCCACTATGGCGTCTCTATCTGATCCACAGTTGATGAGGTAATTGTCTTGGGGAACGAAAGCTGTTGAAAGGTCTATGAGAGACAAAAACAGAGTCATGAAACCAAGAATTCTACTCCTCATGGATAGTGATTTTTTTGGTAAATGGATTATTTTTCAAGAACAGAAGATGAGAAAGAGCTAACTCAGCTAAGAGAAGTATTTCCGTCTCATTGAAAAGTGGCACTGAACAGATTTTGCCATGAAATTTGAAGTATGCGGAAACATTTTTGAGATTGATAAAAGCCCATGATTGATGCTGAGCACAAAACTGCAAAAGTTGGAGTGCATTTGAAAATATTTGACAACTTCTAAATGTGGGTGGGTGCATGTACATTAAATGTAATAAATAAAAAGAAACATAATTCGTGATTTTTCGTTGAGAGTCAGAACTTCTATCCTTCATGTTTTTCTGCAGGAAACTTTCAATAAATCTATAAATTGATGAATTTCAACATCGAAATCCTTGATTTGATACTACTAGTATATGTTTAAGGTTTGAATCCACAAAACTCCAAGGAAATAATCAACGGTAGAAGTGTTAGTGGATAGTGGGTTCAGTTCATAAATATTTAGAAGTCAATTTGGATACAAAAAATTCTGCGTCTCAATTAAATATTTTCAATGCAAGACTCAATAAACTATTTCTAATGTTTGAAATTTTGAAAACGTGTATCGTGAAGAAAGAGGGAATGAACAACTTATTTTGATCAAAGACCCACCAAAAAACTCATTTTTATTATCAAAGATCCCCAAAAGTCATACAACATTACAAAGTATTCAAACTACTAGGAAATGCTCGGATCTGGAACCTCTACCTTGCTTTTCAGCTAGGTAGGATGTCCGATCAAAAAATCAACGGTCACAGATTTTTGAGAACCACATCTCGAGGGGCCTTCTTCTTCATTTGTTCGTCCGTTGCTGCAAGACACCTCTGTCGTGCGGTAAAGTATCTCAATCTCAAATGTTCACCTCCGAACTATAGGGTGAAAGGAATGCTCACCTCCGAACTATAGGGTGAAAGGTTGTCTGAACTCCGAAGTCCAGTAAAATGAGTGAGAAACATTCAGAGTGGGTCCAACCCAACTACTCCATTTGACTAAGACTAGACCAGTGACCTAGCTTATTTCATCTTTGTGGGTAAACAAAATTAAATAAAAATAATTTTGTTTTATTCCTACTACTAAACACTACAAAGTGTGATGTGATTAAGTGATATTATTGGTCGTCACACGTCCATCACAACACCTTCCTTTATCTTGACTTGGGACAGACTTGATACCAAAAAATGAGTTCATGGAAAAGTTACTACAAAGTATGGTGTAATAAATAAAAAAGGACTATTTCATTCTTTACTCCTAAAATTGATTCATGCTTGTATATCAATCGAATTGTCAATTAATTAATTTATAAGTTGCTTTTATACTCCATCAATCAAGCACCATTAATATGTTTACCAAGTACATTTTTTCATTAATTCTCTGCTTTTAATTAAAAAAACTCAAATATTCTGATGTAAAAATAAATAATTTGGACTTTAATTTTTTTAATTGTTATGTTATACATATTTAAAAAATGGTTGAGTTAAAATATGTAAATAAAACTGATGGTGTTCCGATTTTGGGAGTGACCGAAAAACCGAGTAAGAGAGGATGAAAAGTGTTAAGTGTAAGTGAGTAGAAATTTGGTCATACTAACAGCTAGTTTGCACAGAGAAAATCGGATCCCTTTTCACAAACTTCAAAAGTTATATTTATATTGAACATGATATATTTAGCTAACAAGTAAAAAGATGCTATTCTAAGGAGATCCCAACCATCAAGTATAATATGCTAGTCTAATTACACTTTGATACGTGTGGAGCCTAATTGGTGAGATTGACATGGACGGCTAGCTGGTTGGTACGGTGCTACGTAATTTGATTCCTTTTGAACTACCTTCGTTCCATTTCATTTGTCTTAATTAAGTTTAGCAAACTCACTAATAAAGTGGTTCAATTTTAAGGTAAAATTTGTGGTTGAACTTTAAAAAAATGGTAGGAATCACATATTTTTTGCTATAGAAGGAAACAAAACATTTATTTTTGGATAACGTGCACTACAAAAAACACCTCATTTGTCAAGGTTATTAATCGGGATATTTGTGCCTAACATGCTTGTCAGAGATTTGTTAGTGATATTGATCAAATATCGATCACGCAAGGTTCCTCACAGAAAAATTGAAAAAGAAAGCAAGGAATATAAAATAGAATGGATGGAATATAATTTTATCTATTCTTGAACTTATATTATTGAGATAAATTTAAAATCAGTTTTTTAATATTCATTTTATTATTAATAATTTTTTGATACTGCGTTATACTCAGGGGCAGAGCTAGACTTCGCTACACGGGGAAAGTAGTACAAGTATTAAAATGTAAAGGGGATTTTGCAATTTTGGTCCCATAAATTTACTATGTACTTGTTTTTAGTCCCGATACTTCACTTTCTCACAAATTTGGTCCTGTAATTAATAACTTTTTGCAATTTAAGTACTTCTCCACCAGAAACTAAACTTTCCTACAAATAATTCACTACCCAAAAGTGTACTTTCAAATGAAAAATTACAGGACTGAAATGGTAAATCTTCCAAATATGTTTTTTACCCTAAATAGGACTAAATGATGATCAAAATTCTCAAATAGGAGTTAATGTTTTAATTTTCGTTAATATGACTCCTTATGACGAATTTACCCCTGCTTTATTAAAACCCCCAATCCCTACTCCCGATTCGCCATCTTCTTTACCGATCGCAGGCGAGCTCCTCTCCCATGGAGTACCGATTCTGCATCTCTTCCGCGCAACCTACCCTGGCCAGCCAGCGTGTGTACAGGTAATCGCCTCATCTTTCTCCTCTTCTTCTTCTTCTCCTCCTCCTCCTCCTCCTCCTCTTCTCATTTCCCTTCTTTCTCTTCGTCTCCTCCTTCTTCCCCCTCTTCTATGATCTTGATGGATCGTCAGACCGGGGGTGGCCGAAATCCACCGAGAATGAAAGTAAAAGGGGAGAGCGAACTGGACGGAAAAGTCAGGTATTAGATTTAACAAAATCCTGGTGTATCAGTCTCAAGAGTGCAATAGATTAAGCCTCTAGAATTCGATCCCTTTCCACAAGTTGGAAGCTGATATTTATACTAAGGAGAAAGGGAAATACTTGGTGCTCAAGTAAAAGATACTAGTCTAATAGGAGAGGGACACGTGTAAAGCTACTCTAACAAACTACCAGACTGAATGAACCGGGAGCAGCCACGTGGAAAGTAGATTGGAGAGAGAACTTCTGATAGCTTGGTTGATTGGTTTATTCTTCGTAACAGAATTCCTGCCAGAGATCTCGTGTAGTCGTGTGCAGACAATCTGGCGTATTCCACCAGTGCGGAGAGTGACGTGGCGATGTTTCCTCACGACTTAAGCCCTTGCGGATTTCGCCTAAGTACAGGGTGCTTTCCCCCCGACCTCGAGGGTTACTGAGGTTGGTATCTTGGGGCTCGGGCCCATGTTGAGAGGACTCGTTTTGCTGTCTCACGTCCTCGCTCTGGAGGTGACTTGGTCACCTGGTGCTTTGATTGGTGTTGACCTGGAGCAAGACTTCTGAGGTCAGATTTGATGCCGACCTCGGATGTTCCGAGGTCGGGCTCATGGATCGCCGAGTTTGGTTGGCTCCTGAGCTCGATGTTTCCCGACCTCGAGGTCGGGGCAGGGGTCGGTGGACCCTGTTATCTGCTGAGTTTACTTGCTTCCTGAGCCTGGTGTTTCCCGACCTTGGCGGTCGGGGTCGGATCCAGGTGCGGGCTTAGTATTTTCTTGCCCCTGATGACCCGCAAGGCTTTCTACCGGCGATCGCGGTACCCCTGGGGTGTACGGGAATATACTCCATCATGAGTCCCCCACTCTCCGAGGCGAAAGTGAAAGTTGAGGTGAGAGAGAGTAAATCTTCAATTTCCTGGGCACGTTCGCCCGGCAGGGTTGCTGCTCTTCCATGGTCATGACAAAGGGGTACCTCATTAAAAACTCCGCTGAGGAAAAACCCTGTGGGAAAAAAATCCTGACGGAGGAAAAAGAGTATACTCCGCTTTTCATGAAGTCCGGAGAGGAAAGTGACGCCCCGCTGCAGAGAAGTATGAGCCCGAGCTTCGCGTTTTCCGCGTTCCAAACCTGCTTCATGGGTTAGTTGCTACATCCGAGGCCCCAGCCACGGGTTGATGAGATTTAGAAGAAATTTGTAAGGAGTTTTCAGCTATGTACGAATTTTGAGGATATACCTGTTCGGTGCCGAGCCTGAGGTGGCTACGTTGTCCTGAGCTTGGTTGTTGTTGTTTTGTTTTTGCTGTTTTTTGATCTCTTTCCCGAGTCCCCCACTTACCAGTCCCCCACTCTTGTGGACTTAGAATATTTTCTAAGTGCGGAAGAGTATTAGTCTGAGGGGGATGAGGCAGTTGCATTTATCGCCTAGTGGACTTTGTGAGATTTTGTGGTGTGTAGTAACGCTGATGTGTACAAATAGGAATCTTTACATATTCCTTTTGCAATATTTTGAATTAATATCCGCTTCTCAGCATTTAATGCAAGGGATGGCGTTTGAAGTGATTGTACGGCGCCATCATTGCACTTTTTTGCACGCCTTTTTGAAAAACTTTTGAGTTTTTTGTGAGCGGCTGAGGATTATTGCGCCACGTGTAAGCCTCCCGTTCAATTTTGAAGGGAAGTATAAAAGGCGAAAGCTTTCGTCTTTCTCCTTTGCGCTTTCTTTTGTTTTCAAGTTTTCAGAGTTTTCAAGCCTTTCAAGAGCTCATCTTCTCTGGTTCTTGCCTGTGAAGTTTTCGGTTTCCTCCGTCGACTCCCCGAAACAGGTTAGTCTCCGGCTCCGTTTGCCCGTTAATTGTCTGTCGCAGTTTGGTCGGAAGAAACCCAGAATAAGGGTTTTTCCGTCAATTTGGCTCTGTGAACAGTGGGGGGTCTATAGTCCCCCATTCTCGGTGATGTTGGCACCTCTGGACTCGGAATCGCATTCTGATGCTGGTCCGAGTCTTTAATTTCTGTTTGGAGGTTGGATTGTAGGTCCTTAACCCCAATCCCAGTTTTTGAGTGTCTGCATGTACGTGTGTGTTTTTCTGCAGATTTTGAGAAGATGTCTTCCCAAGGTGCTTCTGCTAACACCGGGGACCGGGCTAGCAATGATCTACCATTGGGGTACGACGATGCTGCTGCCCTGAGGGAGGCTGGTCTTATCGATGATGTCGCGAATGCAACTTCCGCCCTTGAAGTCG